AGGCTGCAGTTTGAGTAGCTGCTGTTGGTGTATAACAGTGTTGAAGTGTAAGGGTGGACTTACTTTTACACTATTTAATTTCAGTTAACAGGAGCGTTAGCTTGCTTGTAACATGTAAGTAGCATTATACATATTTTGACCCCTTAACAATTTCATAATTCAAAGGATCCAGTTACACTGGATCCTTTGAATTGTTTCAGATTTGGACATAATAGCAGCGATTTTAGAAAATCCAATTAATTTTTCCCATGGAGAAAACCAGCTTAGACTCTTAGGGGGGGTCCTATGTTGGCTGCTAACTCATGCTCCATAGCGGCACTGATGCTTTAATCGCAGCAAAATGTTTGGTTTAACAATTGATCTACTGTACAGACTCTGTTCTAGTTTGGTGATGCGCTCTTCCTCACATTAACTGAGATCTTCCTCGTCTCCTCTTCTGTCTTCAGTGTGAGAAATGAGGAACAGTCACTCTTTACACCAAACTCTTGGGAAACTGGGCGAGTTTTCAGATTTACAGATCTGCTGCAGCACATTGTAAAGTTTTTCAGAGGAATCTGGGCAGAGTTACAGGTTCTAGCCTATGAAGGAACAACTGGGTGAACCAGTCTGCTACAGCGCCACCCTGAGGCAGAGCAGGGCTGCAGCTCTAGTTAGTTAAGAACACCAAAGACAGAAGCTGATTCTGGGTGAAAGCAGCTAATTTTACCCTAAGTGTAATTTTCAGAGACCCACCAGAATTTTATTTTTGAGACATTCAGGGGGTCCAAGAGATTAACTAGTGAGTCCCAGACCCCCCGTAAACATAATTATTCCAGATAATCGTACATTTACGGGAGCACAGTGCTGCACACTAGTTGTAGGAAAAAAATATATAAAACTGCTGTGACGACAGTGAAGTGAGTAAAATGTATGGTGTGCAGCTATGTTTAGCAAAGAAGCTAACCTAGCAGTTAGTAATATGCCTTACTCATGTACCACAAACATTAAAATCACAAAAGTATGAATTGTTCTACCATCTAATACAGGCTTCAGACTGACTGCACATCATACATTTCTCTTATATTTCTCATATATGTTTATTTATAATCAGTGGAGGTGAAATGTAAAAAGGTTTGTGCTTAGACGCTGCCAAAATTAGCATTTTTGCCTCCATTTTGGGGCTTTAGTGCTGCTTTAAGAAGGTCATCACAGCCACAGCAGTAGCATTATTAGAGGAGGATGCAAATTCAAGTGTCAAAGTTCACCAAAGTTAGACACTATTTAAAATTTCACTTATTAAATTCATTATTTGGAGCTACAGTTGACACTTTATTATTCAGTAATAGCTGACAAAAGCAAACTGACTGAGCAATTCCTAATTATTAGACTCTGTTTGGTGACTAAAGTTTGCTTCTTTAGATTTTTCCACTGAAGTTATGAGGCTAATTGTGCTAACATACAGTGGAGCATGGTGCAGGCCACCATCACCCCCTCACCTCAAACTGTGTGGAGTTGTTCATTATCTCTAGCAGACTTGATTGTGTGGTTTCTGACTCTGTATGACACACTTATCTATAAACATGGACTAAAGTGCATTAGCATAACTAAACACAGTAGCGGCAGCCTGAAGCCTGAATTTTGTCCTCTGTGAATTGGTGTACATAAGCTGTCTGTAATGGGTCCGTATTAATCTCAGAGTTTATATTGCAGCTCCACTTACTGTGTTATCAGACTAGTGCTGTAAAAACATATCAGTTTGTGTGAAGCTCAACAGACTGAACTAATGCAAACGCACAGCATTCCACTGTCTTACACAGTCAGAACCAATCAGCATTCTTTTCTTTCTTTCTATCTACACAAACACACTTCCTCTGGCTTCACTCTGCAGACTACGCCAATACAAACCTCCAAAAAAGTTGGGACAGTGAGTAAAATACTGATAAAAAATAGAAAGCAATTTGAGCAGTTTAACTGTATATATTTTTTTTATTATTATTTTTATTTTTTTTTGAAATATATGTTTATTCTAAAATTGATGTCTGCAACACATTCCAAAAAAGTTGGGACAGGAGCATGTTTACATCACCTTTCCATTTAACAGTGCTTAATAAGCATTTTGGGGACTGAAGACACAAAATGATCCATTTTTGAAAGTGGATTTTTTGCCATTCTTTAGTTACACAGCAAGTTTTTTTGTCATATTTTGCGCTTCTTACTGCGCTACACATTTTCAATGGGAGAAAGTCTGGACTGCAAATGATATTCTGTTGACTTTTGAAATGAAAAAAAGGAACACTACCTTTGCAGCAAATTATTTTAAGAAGTATTTTAAGAAGTATATTGAAAAAACACCTTACCAACCTTGGAAGGGTGTTCAAACTTTTGCATATGCCACAATTTTACTGTTTTACTGTTTCTTTCTATTTTTTAAGTTTATCAAAAAATAACTGTTCATTAACATTTAAGTTCTTTTCAAAAAAACAAATATGTATTTTAGCCAGGAGTGCCCAATTTTTTGCATTCATGTCCCTGAAAAAGACGTCCTCTAGAAGGCAGCACATGTTGCCCCAAAATGTATATATTTCTTTCACTGATAATGGTTCCTTCGCAGATGTGTATGTTACCCACTAATACCCACTAATTATTTGCTGATCAGAGCCAGCTCTACCTATTAAGTTACATAAGCAGCTGCTTAGGGCCCTGCGCCCACCAGGCGGCCCCCTGAAAAACTTTAGTTAATTACTGCATTACCATTATGTTGTCTAATAAAACACTGGGGGAAAAGTGATTAATAAATCATGCCTTAAACAAGAGAAAATGAGGGGGAAAAGCTAAAGGTATATTTAGGTTTCATTATGAGATAGTAACATTATGCCTTTTTTTTTGGCTTTTGGTCAATAAACAAGAAGTAGTCACTCATGACAGAGAATGCTGAGACATTGTTAGAACCCCACTAACATTCGGTCATCCGGAATACACAAAATTGCCATTTTTTACATGATATATACCACTTGTGGTAGTCATTGTTATTAGCCTCTAATTTTACTGTACATCAGCTAGCAAGCTAACTGGTTTGCTAATGTTATATAAATAAATTTAATTTAAGGAATGTTTATTTGAGACTATATTATATTTATACATCAGTATAAATGTGTGGATTACATAAAGACTCATCTAAATAAGACTAAATAAGTTAATAACCCTGATAATGTAAAATGATAACTTGAGCCCTCGAGGACTAATTATTCTCTATGCTTTTATTTTTTTAACTGTTTACAAGGCGTAGGTCTGAGTGGTGCCTAGGCACATGGGGGCACCCAAAAAAACCTGCTTAGGGCCCCCAAAATTCTAGAGACATTCCTGTTGCTAATGCAGGGGGCAAGCCTCAACCTGTCATTACTCATAAAGTACTAGGCCTTTCCTTTGTTTGAGATGTTTTTTGAACATTTTACAGTGTTCCTAGTCTTAAATTTCCTCTGTCCTAATTTGTTCTGGGAATGTGTTGCAGAATGAGCATTTACTGACAAACAACAATGAGATTCATAAGGTAACACATTAAAATATCCTGTCTTTGAATTGTTTTTATTTAAACACAGATAGATTAATTAATTAAACCAAACCCAGAATTGAAGAAGTGCTGTAAAAAAGTATTTTTATATGTTTTTTTTAAGCAATTCCATCTTAATAACCATAACACACACCATTTTTTTAGGTCTTTTCCATTTAATTAACTTTTTAACCAAATTGCACTAAAAACAGGTTCTGTGGATACTTTAGTAATTTAATTACAACACTGCAGCCAAACATCCACTTTCTATTCAGCACAGTGAAATCATTAACATTCAATGGCACTGAACCAAAAAAATAGTATTTAATCATTTAAAGTGGAAGGATTCAATCGGTTTAAGTGCAGTAGCTCATGCATACTTGGCCTGAGATATGGAACCTGAATTAGCTCTAAAACCACTGGAAGTCATCACGCAGAGACAGTCGCCATAAACATAAATTCGTCTGCTCTTTATTTCCAGATATACGGAGGCTTGGCAGGAATACAAACTTACTTCTGGCCGTTTGAATGATTAATGTGTGTGAACAAACTTTTACTGGAGTGGCTGGATGAGCCAAGTTTCTACTTTTGAATTTCTTTTTGTTTTTTATAATGCTACAGTCAACTCGGATGCATGTAAGGTTAACAGTGATGTCTCATATTCAGGCATATTTCAGCATTTTCCTAGCTAAATCTTTGGTGACTGAATTTATGGAAGGTTTAAGAACTGAGTGTCAGCTGAATCCTGTTTGTATTGCTTTGTTTCGTGCTGATAAAGTTTGTACTGAACTGACCTACCCATACTTCTCACACAAACCTTTGTAGCTACTGTTGCTAGGTTGGACATGCTTTAGGATAACATGCGCATCCTCCAAGACAAATAAAGGTCCCACCACATCTTTTAACTCCTGCTTGCACAACACTAAATTCTGTTCTGTCAGCTAACAGACACTTACTGCTAATTCTGGTAGTCAGCTAACATGCTAAATGCTAATTCTGTTCCTTCAGCTAACAGACACTGACTCCTAATTCGGCCAGCTAACAGACACTGACTGCTAATTTGGCCAGCGAACAGACACTTACTGCTAATTCTGTTACATCAGCTGATGGACATTAATGGTTTATTCTGTCAGCTAACAGATGCTAACTGCTAATTTCTCTTATGTCAGCTAATAGACACTACCTGCTAATTCTGTCAGCTAACAGACACTACCTGCTAATTCTGTCAGCTAACAGACACTAACTGCTAATTCTGTTAGCTAATAGACACTAACTGCTAATTCTGTTAGCTAATAGACACTAACTGCTAAGTTTGTTTCGTCAGCTAGTACAGACCACAGCATGAATAGTTGCAGCATCACAGGGATCAAACTTGCATTCTCTTTTGATCATAGAACCAATGCTTAGACGATTGTGCCACTTAGGAGCCCCAGGCTTTCTGTTTCATTGCTTTGTTCTCTTTCTCTCTTTGCAGGGCCAGAGACCTTCAACTCTAAGTCCTTGGCCCTCCAAGCTCAGAAAAAGATCCTGAGTAAGATGGCCACCATGGCTGTGGCCAACCTGCTAACAGACGACACCAGCAGTGGCATCCTCGACGAGCTTTACAAGGCAAGCCGCGAGTTCACCAAGAGCAAGAAGGAGGCACACAAGATCATCAAGGACGTCATCAAGATCGCCCTGAAAGTGGGAATCCTCTACCGGAACCACCAGTTTGGTCCCGAGGAGCTGGAGACCGTGGAGCGCTTCAAGAAGAAGATGAACCAGGCGGCCATGACAGTGGTCAGTTTCTATGAGGTTGAATACACGTTTGACCGCTCAATCCTTTCTGAGCTGCTCCTGGAGTGCAGGGACCTCCTCCACGAGCTAGTGGAGAACCACCTGACCACCCGATCCCATGGCCGCATTGACCACGTCTTCAACCACTTTGCGGATGTGGAGTTCCTCACGGAGCTCTATGGGCCCTCTGAGGAATACAGACTCTCCCTTAGGAAGATTTGCGATGGGATAAACAAACTCCTGGATGAGGGCGTGCTTTAGCCAGCATCAATCCCTCATCTCCACCTTCCCTCCCTCTAAACTGCAAAAAAAGATATCTTGGCACATGGACCATAGAAAGACCTAATAGGGTCAATGGCTTTTCAAGAGTCAAGAGGGTCGATAACTCTTCTGATTCAGCAAGATCAATGTTTTTTTCAGATGTACTAAGGCCAGCGGTTCCTGAGACTAAATAGGGTCAATAATTCCTCAGACTCAGAAGGGTCAGTGGGTCATAAGACTCTGAAGGATCAATTGCTCTTTACACTGTGGGTTCATTGGTTTCTCAGATTCAGACTCAGTAGGGCAGTGGTCTCCAACCCTGGTCCTGGAGAGCTACCTACCTTCAGAGCGTAGTTCCAAACACAACTTGCCTCACCTGCTCTTCCCAAGTCCCTGATTGGCTGGATCAGATGTATTAGAGTTAAGTAAGGGGCAGGGCAGCTTATTGCATACAGGTTGAAACCAAAATCTACAGGAAGGTAGCTCTCCAGGACCAGGATTGGAGACCACTGCAGTAGAGTTAGTGGCTCTTCAGACTCAAGATAGTCAGTGGTTCCTCAGACTCAGTAGGTCCAGTGGTTCCTCAGACTCAAATGGATCAATGACTCTTCAGACTCATAAAGGTTACTGGCTTTTTATACACAGAAGGGCCAGTGGTTCCTCAGACTCAGTGGGTCGATGCTCTTCAGACTCAGTAGGGTCAGTGGTTGACATAAGTGGGTCAATGGCTCCTAAGACTCTGTTGGGTAAATAGCCCCTTAGATTCTGTAGGGTCAGTGGCTTCTTACACTCAGTTGGGTTCAGTGGCTTCTCACACTCAGTGGGGTCAATGGCTCCTCAGACTCTGTACGATCAGTGGTTCTTTAGACTCAGGTGGGTCAATGGCTCCTGAGGAACCACTGGCTTTTTATACACAGAAGGACCAGTGCTTCCTCAGACTCAGTGGGTCGAAGGCTCTTCAGACTCTGTAGGGTCAGTGGTTGTTTAGACCTGAGAGGGTCAATTGATTCTCAGACTCTTAGACGTAAGTGGGTCAGTGGCTCCTCAGACTCTGTTGGGTCAGTGGTTTCTTACACTTAGTAGGGTCAATGGATCCTAAGACTCTATTGGGTAAATAGCCCCTTAGATTCTGTAGGATCAGTGGCTTCTTACACTCAGTTGGGTTCAGTGGCTTCTTACACTCAGTTGGGTTCAGTGGCTTCTCACATTCAGTGGGGTCAATGGCTCCTCAGACTCTGTAGGATCAGTGGTTCTTTAGACTCAGTAGGGTCAATGGCTCCTTAGAGTCTGTTGGGTCAATGGCTCTTTAGACTCTGTAGGGTCAGTACCTTCTTACACTCAGTTGGGTTCCATGGCTTCTCAGACTCTGTAGGGTCAGTGGTTCCTCAGACTCAGTAGGGTCAACGGCTTCTGAGACTTAGTAAAGTCAGTGGCTCCTCAGACTCAGTAGGGTCAATGGCTCTTTAGACTTGAAAGGGTTAATGGTCCTCAGACTCAGTAGAGTCAGTAGCCACTCTGTGGTCCATGTCTTGGCGAGTACAGCACCTTAAATGTAGGGCTGCACAAGATATCAATTACAAGATGACAATTACTAGCTACTACAAATAATGTTGGCCAAAATAATACCAATCTTTTTATCATGTCACATCAAAGGTTCACCGTTGTGTTTTATTATATTGCAAGGCAAATCACAATTGCTATATGTAGCAATATATTTGCAGTGTGGTGTTTTGTAGGCAACACATCTAATATTTCTCAGTATAAAACTGCTCTAAGATTATTACAAGATTATTCAAAATAGGCTCCTGTTCAAAGATTTAAAACTGAACTGATCATCAAAACATAATTTTGGCTGTTTGATTTCATATTTCAAGTACTTTGAGAACAACAAGAAATTATTAAATGATATGTCATATACTGTAATTACATAAATTAAAAAATATCTTGATCTTGCTGGCAGATAATTTCATGTAAAGTAATTCAAAGTGTGTAGAAACAAGTTGAATAATCATCTTATGTCATTCTCACAGTCCGATACTTGATACATTGCCAAAATTTAAGATGCTTTCACTTGTCAAAATATCATTTTTTTGCAGTCATTTTTCTCTATCTATCTTTCCCTTTCTTCTCCTCTCTCTCTCGCTTCTGGTACTGGACTGTAAATCCATTTTTTATTATAATTATTATTATTCCTTTTCCTCTCTTTTCCTCAAGGGAGAGACAGGATGTCACGATGCCTTGATGTGGTTGTATCCAAACCTCTAAGTGTGTGTGCGTGTATGTATGTAACTTTGGGGGGAAAAAGCCCACTGTTCTGAGCTCCTGTCTTAATTGTGTGCACTGTACAACATTGTCTCCTTCCTGTCCCTCAACAACAGCACAGCAATGCAAAAGTGGCTGTATCGACGTGACACCCAAGAGTGGCTTTTGTTTATGAGTGTGTGTGCACGTGTGTGTGTGATCACTGACAATAAAACCTGTTTGAAAAGCCAATTCAGCATGAAGAAGAGTTTCACTGATTTCAGTGTTTTGAGTTGTATTTGAGTTTCTTTCTTTGGAAATAGATATACAAATTATTAAATATTAAATATACAGCACACATTATTAGAAACACCTACCTTGCACTTCCACTCACTGGCCAAACATCCTTTCCCCCGCCCGCTATCTAACAAGCTGTTGAACGTGTTTTTAGGAGTAGATGGTTAGTCCAGATGACTATGAAGTGGTGGGGACAAAAACAAGCATTCAAGGAAAACCGAACATTTCAAAAAGCAGCGGAGATAAAATTAGACATTAAAAAAGTGGTGGGGACAAAATTGAGCATCTAAGAAAGAGGTGGGGACAAACTGAGCATTTAAGGAAGAGGTGAAGACAAAATTGCGCATTTCAAGAAGTGGTGGGGACAAAAGTAAGCATTTCAAGAAGTTGTTGGGGAAAAAATTTAGTATTTCAAGAAGTGGTGGGGACATAACTGAGCACCTCGAAAAGTGGTGGGGACAAAACTGAGCACTTCGAAAAAAGTGGTGGGGACAAAACTGTTAATTTCAGAGAGAGGTGGGGACAAAATTGAGCATTTAGGGAAGCGGTGGGGACAAAAGCGAGTATTTCAAGAAATGGTGGGGACAAAATCAAACATTTAAGGAAGTGATGGGGACAAAACCAAACATTTAAGGAAATAGTGGGGACAAAACTGAACATTTCAAAAAGCAACTGAACATTTCAAAAGACAACATTAAACATTTAAAAAAGTAGTAGGTACAAAATCAGAGCATTTCAAAAAATGGCAGGGACAAACTGAGCATTTCAAAAAGTGGTGGGGACAAAACTGAACATTTAAGGAAGAGGTAGGGACACAACTGAGCATTTCAAGAAGTGGTGGATACAAAACTGAGCATTTCAAGAAGTGGTGTGGACATGTCCCCATTGTCCTCAGTGTAAATTACTGCTCTGACAACACAGGTGTACAGTTACAGACTGTAGCTCATCTGTTGCTCTCTGGGGCCCTCTCTACCCCATTCATCAGCTCTGTGAGAAACTGACCATTGATGAAGGACTAGAAGATGGACAACACAAACTGTGCATCAACAGATGAGCTACAGTCTGTAACTGTACACCAGCAAGAAGGAGCTACGAAAGAAGGTTTCTGATTAAGTGGCCAGTGAATGTACACTGAAGGATCTTAGGCCTTTTCAACAGACATCACTTTCACACCAACTCTGCTCCATCCTGTGAGCGTTCCTCTGAAGCCTGTCTAGGTGCTATGTGTGTGACTTCACAAGCTTCTATATCATAAGCCCAGGGTGTACCTGCACTATCTTTAATTAAACATTCCTTTTGAACTTGCTTTCAGTGTCCTTTGGTCATTTGAAAAGGATTCGATAGAGCTAATTATCCAGTTAGGTCACTACTGCGTCATGCAGAGTTAGCGCAGCGATGGCCAATATAATTAGTGAGTGACTTCATGAGTTGCTCTCTACACAGGCCATGCATCTTTATGACACATCCAATAAACATCCTGGTGTGAGTTTATAATCATCCTTTAATCCCTTCCCCCTGTACCCTATGCCCTTAAGAGTGCAGCTCTTCATTAGCTTATTAGTGTTGTCCTGTATAAAGCTGCAGTCCTATCAGGGGTGTAAAAGTTACGTCACAACAGCAAACAACTCACTTTCGGTGGATGATGGATTATGTGACATTTATATGACATTTTTATTTTTATATAATCATAAACATGCCCCAGCAGTACATTTCATAAATTCATTTTAATAAAGAAGCGTTCACTTTATGAGTGTTTTCCCACAGCACATTCAAAAACAACAACCCAAACAGGAACCAACAGGTTCTAGTGCTAGGCAGTTCATTTCTCATCTGCTCAAGAGACAGCTGGAACCGTTTTAATAACCACAATCAGCCATGTGTTGTCTTTTTGGTCATTTTATGCCACTCCAAAGCATCTGATTTTGCTAAATAGCTAGTTAGCTTACCTCAATAGCCTAATGCAACGATGCACTGCACTGTTCTGCACTCTCACACTTACAAATGTCTACATTTATACAGAATCATGTGTAGAATCAAACACAGCTTCAATTTGCCTCTGCTGAGTGTGAAAATACAAGCAAAAACTTCATCTGTGGCCTCTAGTATAAATGCTGATAGCATTAGCTTCTTAGCTTATGTTGGAGAAAAATTCTAAAAATAGCAAAAAACATGGCAACATACCATTCTAGTTTACATCCTGGAGGACTTAATGACGGTATAATAGTGCCGGTGCAACTTCATCTTCATCTAGAAGAGTAAAGAATTCACTAAATTGCTGTTAGCTTCTGCTGAAAGTGTTAGCAAACAAAGGATCCTGGATTAACTGCCATTCACAGCTCTGCATGCTTTAGAAAGCTGTAAAACAGGAAAAATGTAAGTAAAATCAATTATGTACTTGGGCATATTTCACATTGCAGCATCAAACACATCAGAATTTTACTGTTACTGCTAATGTTTTGTATTTTACTGAAGTTGAGAGGCCATGAGGTATATTTTTCTGGATTTTTCTGGCTTCTATATAGAAACATGAACACTCAAAGAACTCTTTGCATGATTAAATGGTTCTTTGCCTGGCAAAATCGTTCTTCAGATTGATGAATAATGTGCTGTATGTGGTTCTATATAGATTTTTTTTTTAAAAAGGGTTCTATATGCATCAAACAGGAGTTATGATGTCAAGCTTGTAAAAATAGAAGAGCTCTTTTTGGTGCCACATCTGGAATCTGGAATGTAGAACCATCTACAGCATATTCTCCATCAATCTTAAGAACCATAGAACGAAACAAAGAACGTTTCAATCATGCAAAGGGTTGTTTGAGTGTTTATTATCATATATAGAACCGCTTACTTTACTAAAGAGTCCTTGAGGAACCATCAAAATAACGATGATTAATAATTTAACTGGTTTTTTGGTTATGTCACTCTAAAGCAGCTAGTTTGACTCATTAGCAACCTTGCTTGCTAGTTAGCTTATTGGCTGATATGAAATGTCATATACTGCACTTTCACTCTCACAAATGCTTTACACAGAATCTTGTATAGAATCACACAGTGCTTCAATTTTCTATATGGAGTGTTAAAATATGAGCAAAAACATGAACTTTTGCACATGACTGTGTTATTTTAATTTAAAAATAATACCATCTATCTTTCCAAAATCACAGCTGAATTCTCTATGAATCCTATATAAAGTTCAATTTATATAGTGCCTTTCTCAAACCCAAGGACGCTTTTACAAAAAGATCTGAAAACAACAAAATACATAATCAACAATAAATAAAACCACAAAGAACACCCGCACAACTCTATATTTCCAACAGCTAGCGAGGGGGGATTACAATGACCACAGTATAGAGCCACCTAGCTAGCCCTAAAAGTGGAGTCTCACTGGACAACTACGGTGCGTCACACAGGCAGCCGACCTAGGAGGCCTCAAAGGCCGAATATGTCCTTAGCCATGAAGAGGGGTCATTTCCCTGCAGCCGAACACTACCAGTCCAGGCAGCCTCACAGCTGCAGTGCAGCATCACCCAAGCGGCCGGCCCAGGCAGACACGTAACTGCAATGTAGCGTCGCTTAGGCAGCCGGCCCAAGAGGCCTCCTAGCCTACCAATCCATGCAGCACCACAGCTGCAGTGCAGTGTCATCCAAGCAGCCGGTCCAGTAGCCATGTATCTGTGATGTAGCATCGATCAGGTTCTCAGTCCAGGCAGCCTCGTAGCCACAATACAGTGTCACCTAGTCCAGGCCACATCATAGCTGTGATGTAGTGTTACCGAAACTGTCAGCCCAAGAAGCCTCTGAGCCATGGGTGGAAAATCACTCTCGGCTGCTATCTCGGTGGATTGATGGCAAACTCCTTAGCCAGGAGGGAAACATCAAAGCATACACAAACAATACAAAACAAATGAAAAATGATGTAAAGCGGCAGCCATATTGTGCCAGCATACTTACAACGGAAGGAACACGCGCACAAATTAATGCATCAATGGATTTTAAAGCTTTAATACTAAATATACTAAAAGGACTAATTATATTAAGTAAAGACAAATCAAATTAATCAGGGCAGCTGCTACACACAGATTATTTAATTCAGTTAATTAGATTTTACACTGTATGTGCTGGACGGTGGGTCGCAGCTGACCGCTAACTTCACTGATAATGAGGAACGCGACTGAAGCGGACACAGAAGAGGACTAAAATTAGCAACGCTGTCAGACAAGAGAGAGAGAGAGAGAGAGAGAGAGAGAGAGAGAGAAAAGGAGACATCACGATGGGTCAAGACTGACTGAAGAGTGTTGGAGGACCACACACACATACCCAGAGTGGGTCAGAGCTCTGAGTGATAAGAGTGCCTGAGGGTCAAAAGAGAGAGCAGAAACACTGCCGTTCTCTCTCA